AGTTTCCTGTTTTGCATTTCTTTTATGAGAGAAGTTTTTTGTGGAGTTACTTTTGCCTTACCCACGCCATACTTAGTCTCTTATGTTTGCAAACAATAAGAAAGTCTCCTCAAAATAGCTTATGGCAAGAAGTAGAATGTATTGGTTCACACAGCTGAAAAGCCTGGAGTACTCTGCCTTCAAACACATCTGGATTCAGGGGATTAAACGATGGTGTCAGGGCTCTGTTTCTCTTTTTACATCTCTCGGCTCTATATGGCACCATAGCGGTCTACATTGGCCTTAGACTGTGTATCTCAGAGGAAGAGAAGGAGGTTTTCCTTTTTAGCATTTATATTTCAAATTCCATGCAGAAGCTTTGGCTGACCCTGCTTGGCCTACAAGCCAGCATGAAGGAGGAAGTGGGGCCCCAAAAATGGCCCGCTCTGGGTCGGGGTCCACTCCTGCTGCCATGGCACCGTGGGGCTCTGAGATGAGCAGTCCAGCCCGAACTACACGGACTGTAGGGCGGGTCACTTTATAAAAGGAAACTCGGCCAAGATGGCCATATATTCATTGTGTCTGAGGTGAAATTGCCCTCCAATAGTTGCTCATATCCAGTGATACTCTCCTAGACCCAAAATGCAGGTGTCTAACGTAAGTTCACTCAGTACACAATAAAGAACTTGAAAGTTAGTGTGAGGTGGGGTTTTTTTTTTTTTTTGGCCCTGCCAAGAGTCTTTTAAAAAATATGTAAGCCATAATACTCATTACAGAAAAATTAGAAAGTACAGATAAACTAGTCTAGAGAGTATGAGCAAAATTTTGCCTGGTACTTATACAAATGTGCATACACACACATCCCCCAAATGTATGTACGTTACATATTTTTTAGTAAAAATGAGGTCACCCTGTTTTGTAACCTACTATTTAGCTTAATCTCTATGATGAGAGTCTTGAGAACTCTGCACCATCATTTTAAATGGCTGTTTTGTGTAGTCTGTTACATACATTACACTGGTTTCCTAATATTGGCAATTAAATTATTTCCATTTTTTTCTTAAAATTTCAAAAAATTTTTGCTTACATTTTGTATTATTTCCATGAGGCATAGTCTTATGAAATTACTGGTTCTAAGGGTGTGTGCTTTGTTTGGGGCTTTTGATTCATATTGCTAAATTGCATTTCAGAAAGATCTCACCAGTTTATACGTTAACCTGTGGTGTATCAGAATCCCATTTCCATTTATTTCTTTTTAATTTTTGCCAATCTTATCAGCAAAAAGTGGTATATGACTTGATATATATATATTCAATGTGATCAGGAATCTCTGATTACATTGCTAATTAGGTCAAACTGGTATTCTCTATGTTTATAAGTCATTGGCATTTCTCTTTTATAAACTGTCTAGTCAGTGTTGAAGTGTCAAAAACTACAGCCACTGAATAAAAACCAATACTTGAATATTGCTTTTCTGTTAACACTCATGTTCACACAAGTTTTAATTTCATACAGGAGCTCTCTGAGTTTTTTGTATACATATGTATTATCCCTATTTTGTAGCTACTGTTCCAAGATCACCTTGCTTGTAAATGGTAGATGTCTAAATTTTGTTTTCCTTCAGTGATGCTTAGCTGAAATTTTTTTTTGAATATTTTTAAAAATTTCTTTTTAGACAGGGGAAGGGAGGGAGAAAGAGAAGGAGAGAAACATAAAGATGTGATAAATGTGTGGTTGCCTCCTGCACCCCCTAAAGGGGACCTGGCACGACACCCAGGCATGTGTCCTGACTAGGAATCAAACTGGTGACCCTTTGGTTTGCAGGCCAGCGCTGACATACTATATGTTAGTGAAATTATTATGCCATTATTAGGGAATATGATTTGAGCCTTAAAAATTGGGCTTGGATGTTTTTTATTCAATAGACAGTTATGACTGCTTATAGTATGCAACACAGTGTTGGAATATCCAGATAGAAAACTTTTCTCAGGACCTCATTAGATGAAAAATTTTATGTAAAATGAATTCACTTTTTTCTCTTGCTCTGTGAAACATTAAAGAAAGATCCTTTTTAAATAAAATAAGGAAAGAATAGTTAATACTTCTAAATGCCTTTCCTAGCAACTTTTTCTATTCTCAAACAACCTACTTTTTCTTTGAGTGTTTAAACTGTAAACTATTTATGAAAACAGAAATTAGTACTTCTTGAAGTTTTAATTAAATGAATTTTGGTAGTTTTAATTAAATAAATTTATATGAACTCTAAATACGAACACCTTCCCTCTATCTAGGACACCAAAATTAGCAGACAATATTGACTCACAGTTGACTTTTATCTTTTTAGAGTATAATTTGTTGATTATTAAGATGCAGGTGTACAGATGCTAAAAAAGTTTCTTAATTCGTTTGCTGCCTCACTCTGCAGAAGTTGGACATTAAGAGCAGGTGTTTAAACATAACAGTAACCCAGTAACTGTGAACTCTCGACCGTGAATATGTGGTTTTAGTTGAGGTTTTTGCCGTTATCTTTGTATAATAATAAAAAGGTATAAACTGATGCTTTTGAGGTTATTGCAGTACATTCACTAAACAGTCCCACTGTGTTGAGCATGGAATATATTAAAGGCTGTCTTAGCCTTCTTTCCTTTTACAGTAGAGAACACCAATAGAAGTTGTGTCTTTCTCTTCTTTTTATAGCAGAAGAGTGTAAAAAGTAGAGGCATGTTAGTGATGCCACAACAAACTCTTGGCATTTACAAATTGAACACTTAACATTAGCAGTTGTGAGCAATTCTGGAGACCTGTGTACTGGTAATTTGCAAATTTTGTTGCAAAGGTTTACTTTATTTCTGACAGAGTACTTGTGAGAAGCTAGACAGAATTAACTATCTACACCATTATCTACATAGAATTGAAAAGCTTTGTTTTACGTATTTATTTATTTATTTACTTATTACTTATTTATTTAATCCTCGCCTGGGGATATGTTTATTGATATTAGAGAGAGAGGAAGGGGAAAAGAGGGAGGGAGAGAGAAAGAGAAAGAATTATCAATGTGAGAGAGAAACATTGATTGCTTGCTTCCTGTATACCCCTGACTAGGGATTGAACCTGCAACCTAGGCGTGTCCCCTGATTGGGAATTGAACCCACAACCTTTTTGGTATACGAGTATAGAAAAACATTCCAACCAACTAAGCCACCTGGCAAGGGCAAAAAAGGGCTGTATTTTAGATGTCTTTGTCTCAGCTGCTGTCATAAAAATTTAATGTTAGGTGCTAACGATAGGTGTGCATCAGAATTACTTTTCCATGATATTTACAAATATTTCTGATAACATATCTTGTAACAAAAAGAAAACAGCTTTTGGTAGAGCATTTGGATTACCAAATAAGGGAACAAATAGCCTTTACATTATGAAATTGTAAGGTATCAAATGAGTGCTTATATAGAATGTATAATGTTAAAGCAGTGGGTAGTTTAAAAACAAAAGACAAGTGTGCATATATAAAGTTTATGTGCTTTGAAATCCTATCAGTGTGATGGTACTTTGAAAGGATATTTGATAACCAGCAACTTCGAAAGAAAAAAGAAACCAACAGAGTCCAGAGGGAAGGAGGGAGGGGTGGGTGGGGAAAGGAAAGGGGAGGATCAAGTCAAGGAACACGTATAAAGGACCCATGGACAAAGCCACAGTGGGGAAGGATTGAGGGAGGGAGATGGGGGAGGAGGGCAGGGGAAAGTGGTGGCGGGAAGGTGTAGGCAAATGTATTTGAACTAAATAAATAAATAAACAAACAAAACAAAGGATATTTGAGGCACTGAATTAGCAATGATGTTTTAAGATTACAAATCTACAGGGATTAAAACAATAATATGATAGTAATAGTACAACCATTTATTGGATGCTTGCTTTGTGTCAAGTTTTCTAAAATAGAGGTTTTCCCCCCTCCTGACTCTATAATAAATTGTAAAATTGTGTTTGAGGGTCCTACCATATTCACTTCTGATTCCAAATAGTCCAGTAGACAGCACATTGAATGAAGTACATTGTCTGAAGGCGAATTTATAAACATACTTGCTGTAGGTGTTCCCTCAAGTATCATACTGATTATGAACGTTAACATGAATGGAGCACTCTGTGCCCAGCACTGTGCTATATGCTTTGCATGAATTATCTTACCCACGCTTTCTCACTGCCTGCATTGGTGAATGCTTTAGCGCCCTCCAGTTTACAGGTGAGGAGACAGAAGGGTCGAAAGCTTGTAGGACTTGCCCACGGCCACGCACACGGCAGGCTTGATGAGCCAGAGTGCCAACCTAAGCACCGGGCGGACGTGGGCCCGTGGACCTCCCCCCTGCGTTGTGTTATTATTAGTTTTGGTAACTTTTTAAAACAGAATAAACAGCATATTCTTTGGGGAGAGGTGCGGGATTGAGAAGACAGGCCCTGGGTAAAAGTGACACCTGGAGCTTGTGGGCCGGCCACACCCCCTGCGGCGGGGCAGGGGGGGGGTCCCCGCAGGGCAGTGCGCGTGGGCGTCGCGCTGCCGTAGACCCACGTCCTAAACATCTTCCGGCTCATCACGAAACAAGTCCCACTCATGACGGTCTTTATTTGATCCTTTACATGTCATAATGTGGAAAAGCATTGTAGGCCGTGATTTTGAATAGTAAAGATTAAGGGCAGCTATGAGGGTGAGAAACTTGGGTGACTTCAGGGCCGCCACGGTACTTGCTTTTAAAAAAAAAAGCCATCGGTAAAATCTATAGACCCAAGTTCTGCTCATAAGTGCCATTTTATTAATTTTACTTTATCTAAACCATTCATGTTTTCCTCATTGCAAGCAATATGGCAACATTTTCGTTTAAATCCTTCTCCTATAGTTGTTAGTTAATTCATTTTTATGTGGCTATATTAACATTTGATATGGACCTCTGGTGAAAGGTATGAAATAGCTTGTTAAGTGATCATATAATACTTTAGATCTTCTTTTTAACTTTTGAAACTATTTTATTCAGGTTGGTTTGAGTTCCACAAATACAGAATTAAGAGGATTTATAGATCAGAATCTCAGTCCAACAAAAGGTAAGGACAGTTGAATAAAAATTTTCTGCACTGAGCTAGTTTTATTGCATTTGTTTTATAAAACGTGAAGGTACATACATTACTTTATGTGTAATAATATGTATATACTATTACTGTGTTGTTATCATACAAATAACTTGTGTCATATGAAAGTCAAGTACCTCTGAGAGGTGGAGAGAGTGTATAACTTTTCTCCATCGCTTTCCTAAGAGGTCTCTAAGACCATACTTGATCAGTGATCCTATTACAATTAGAACTAACTAGTTTAGTCACTTTCTTCTTGCTTTTCTTGTTTTGAAGGCCCTCTTTTAACTTATGAGGAACTACAATAGAATGATTGAATGTATATAAATTCGTGTGTCTAATATATGACTTACTGGAGGAATCTTCAGTAAGATTCCTTGTGTCAGAAATCTGACCAATACAGGAACTTATGCAGGGGACTGGTCGTATGTTCAATATGTATCTTTCAACAGTGTCTTTTGGTATTTAGAGATAACATACTGAATTATTGATGATTGAAATGATAACGATGTCTGAGATTGGCTTCAGAATAATCCACTGGAGGAAGAAGAGTAAAGTGGGTAGAATTATAGATAAAAGAAAAATGTCTATGAGTTGATTACTTGTTTAAGCTGGGTGATAGCTATATGAGATTTTGTTATTTCTATCTCTCTTCCTTTGTATATATTTGAAGTTTTCCATTAAATCGGGTAGGAGAAAAATGTATGCCATTACAATACAAATAGTTATGAGAGAAACATCAACTTCCTCAAAGGGTTTATGTCTCAGGTGAGCTATGTACTCTGGAGAGAAAGTTAGAGAAATCTGTATTTCAGCATAAAAATGTGTGGCTTAATGTTAATGATCTACAGAATTACTGAGAGTTTAAATATGGATTTTGAAGCAATAAAAGAGATATTTGATATTTCAAGTCTTGACACTTCTCAGATTTTTCCTAAATTTTTTACTGTGGAAAAATACATATACCATAAGATTTACCACTTTAACCATGATTACATATATAGTTTGGTGGTAGGAAGTACATTCATATTGTACAACCATCGCCACCATCTGTCTCCATAACTCTTTATGTTGCAAAACTAAAATTATAGTAAACAACTCTGCATTTCTCCTTCTCATCATCCCCTGGAAACCACCGTTCTACCTCCTGTCTTTATGATGTTGACTACTCTAAATAGCTTGTATAAGTAGAATCATACAGTATGTGTCTTTCTGTGACTGGCTTATTTCACTCAGCATAATGACCTCAAGGTTTATCCATGTTGCAGCATGTGTCAGAATTTCCTTCCTTTTCCAGGCTGAATACTATTCCATTGTACATATATACAGCAGTGGGCAAACACAGGTTCACAGTTGTTCATATGGGAGATAATTCAAAATTAATAAATAATAATATAAGAGTAAACTTTTTTTTTTGTACTCACACCTATAAACCTAAATTTGCCCTCCCCGTATAGTAGTCCCCGCCTTATCTGTAGCATGGTTTCAGTTACCCACAGTCAATAAACAGTCTGAAAATATTAAATGGAAAATTCTAGAAACAAACAATTCATAAGTTTTGAATTGCATGCCGTTTTGAGTAAGATGATGAAATTTCATGCTGTCCCACGCGGATGTGAATCATCCCGTTGTCCGGCGTATCCGCACAGTACATGCTCCCGCCCTTCGGTCACTTACATCTGTCTTGGTTATTGGACCAGCTGTTGGTATCACAGTGCTTGTGTTCATGGAACCCTTCTTTTATTTAATAATGGCTCAAAAGCACAAGAGTAGTAATGATGGCAGTCTGGATGTGCCAAAGAGGAGCCACAAAGTACTTCCTTTAAGGGAAAGGGTACAACAGTTGGAGGAAAAAGTATAGTATACATAGTGTTCAGTGCTATACATAAGTATATGTAGGGTTCAGGCATTCACTGGGGTCTTGGAACTTATGCCCCTTGGCTGAGGGGGGACTACTATATCACATTCTGCTTATCCATTCGTCTGTTGATGGACACGTGGGTTGCTTTTTTGATTTAGCTATTGTGAATAATGCTGTTGTGGACATGGGGCTACAACTATCTCCTCATTACAGCATAGGGAATAGAGTCAATAATATTGTAATAGCTATGGATGGTGTCAGATGGGTACCATACTTAAATCAGGGTGATCACTTCATAGGTTATATAAATGTCTAATCACTATGTTATACACCTGAAACTGATATAGTACTGTATGTCAACAGTAATTGAAAAGTAAAATAATATTTAAAAATAAGTATCTCCTCAAGACCCTGTGTGGTTTTTTTTTTTGTTTTGTTTTGTTTTATTTTAAGACCATGCTTTTTATTCTTTTAGCTATATACTTAGAAGTGGAATGGCTGGGTCATATGGTAATTCTATTTTTAATTTTTTGAGGAATAGCCATTCCAATTTCCACAGCAACCGTACCATTTTACATTCCCACCAGTAGTGCTCAAGTGCTCCTATTTCTCCACATCCTCACCAACACTTGTTGTTTTCTCTTCTTTTTAATTATTGTCATCTTAATGGGAGCAAGGCGGTATCTCCATGTAGTTTTGATCTGCATTTCCCTAATAAATAGTGATGTTGAGCATCTTTTCATGTGTTTATTGGTCATTTGTGCATCATCTTTGGAGAAATGTCTACTGAAATGCTTTATATGGCTGTTGGTTTATTTTCACATTATGGCATAAATAGAAATTGATAACATTTATAGGATGCACTGGGATAAACAGAGAGGTGGCTTAAGGTCAGGGGTAAGCAAGCCAGAAGCTCCAGCTGCCCCAGTCCACTCCTGGCTGCCCCAAAGGCCGAGGGGATCAGTATCTTAGTAACCCGTAGTCTGTTCACAACACAGAGTTGGAAATCTCTGCTTTAGTAAATGGTATTATCCAGGTCAGGAGAAGGAGCTGGGAACCACAAGCTTTGTAATGTGGAAAACTATGACACTGAATAGTGGGACAGAGATAATGGAGTAATGCAATGATCTTGCAGATAAAAAGGGAGAGGATGCCAAGTCATAAAGGGGAATGGTGACATAGAAAAAAAAGCCTTTGAAAGACGACAAAGGAAGAGAATGAGGGTTGAGGAGAGGGAGGTTGCCTTTGATGTCAGATGCAGCATCTGAAGGGTAAGAAAGAGAGTCACGAAGGTCAGCCATGAATGTATGTCAATAACACCAGTGAAGTTTAGTTATAGAGTAAAACCATCTCAGTTTGTTTAACTTAATAGGACAAATGGAGAAGATGGAAACAATCATTTTTGAGGCAAAAACTAGGGAAATCAGGTTTAGAAATAGCTATTTGTTTAAAAAGAAAGTTGTTCCTCTTCCTTGAGCTGTTGGCTGGTGGCAGCAAAAAGAACTCCAGGTTAAGCAAACGTACAGGATTTAGAAAAGAGTTTTCTTTTAATAATTTTTTAAATTGTTGAAATTCAGTTAATATTTATTACAGGCCTAAGATGAGAATTATTTTGGAAATAAGATATAGAAAAGTATAGAAAAGTATTTTACTTAATTGAAATGATGATATAACAATGATACTATAGAAAAATTTGAAAATTAGTAAAAAAATTCTATCATCTAATGTAACTTTGTTTTTATTTATTATTTTTCACCTATTACTCATATACTTATGCTTTATAGTTACAAAGCTAATATACGTATAATTTTCTCCTCTGTTTTTCTTCCGAGTGCACAAAAACATTTTTCTTATATTGATGGTCTTCATAAACAACATTTTTAGAGTTTCATACTATTTCATTGTGTTTATGAGTCGTAATTCATTAATCATTTCCCATTTTCTAATTGCTGTATATTTGAGTCTTTTTTTGGTTGTTGGTTATATATATGATATGTATATATTTACATATATTATTTATATAAACACAGGTAGACATCTATATCTTTATATAGCTGGGATGCTGGACATCACAATGAATGTTTTTAGTCAGCTAAGTTTTTGTTTCTCTCAATTTATTTTCTTAAGATACTCAGTTACTAGGTCATTCCCTGCTTAAAACCTTTTTAACAGGTTTAAACCTTCTTCCTATTTAAATTAGGATAAAATCCCAAACTCCTTACCTGCAAAATCCCGCATTATGCCCCTACACATGACTTCATCCTTATTTCTGCCACTCTTATTTATACCCACTGTACTTCAGCCACACTGATACTTCTTTTGGGAAGTTTTGCAGTATCTCTGAGGAAATTGAAAAATATTGACCTCTTTTGGTCATGTAATCAAGCTTTTTAAGAGTGTGCATTAGGGAAGCCATCTTAAATATAAAAAGATTAATCGTAAGTTTTTTTGTTTGGTTTTTAGCATTGGACTGTGATGTGCATAGATGTGGTTTTCTTTGTATTTATTCTGCTTGGGACTCACTGAACTAAAGATACATCTTTCACCAAATTTAAAGAAGTTTTGGATAGTAAATGTGCAAATTTTTTTCTACAAGTGGCTCTCCCTTTGGAACTTCAGTTGTATGTCTATTCCGTCCTTCGGCCTTGCCCTCCAAGTTCATTATTTTCTCCCAACTTTTCTGTGTGTTGTTCACACTGGAGATTTTCTGCTAATATACATTTTAGTTGACTTATGTTTTTTTCTATTATCATCATTCTGCAGTTAATTCTATCCAATGAATTTTTAATTTCAGATACTGAAGTTTTCAGTTCTAGAATTTTTATTTGATTTTACTGAGAATTCCTGTTTTTTTGTTCATTTTGAAACTATTTTACTTTACGTTCTTAAATATAGTTTTATTAGCTTCTGTACAATGAAATATTATTCAGCAATAAAAAGGAGCGAAGTGCTGATACATGCTATCACATGGATGAACCCTGAAAGCATTATGCTAGGTAAGGAACCAGACGCAGAAGGCCAAATATTATTTGATTCCTTTTATATGAAATGTCCAGAATAGACAGATTCATAGAGACAAAGCGTAATGAATGGTTGCCAAGGATGGGGGTGGTTG